TGGGTTAGTTCTCTACTTTTCCAGAGGCTATAAATCCTACCCATCCGCGTCACACAGACGACGCCACTTCCTTCTTCCTCTCGTGCTTGCTTGAGGTGCTTTGTCTCTCTTCCTTTTTTTTTCTAGTTTCCACTTTTCTTAGCCGGCCGGATGTTGATTGAACCTTGCATGACTGATCGAGCCAAGTTGGGACATTCCCCTTTGATTAGGAAAACCTAGAAATCCCTTGCACTAAACCCACTTTAGAGGAGATAATCTAATGTCCTTAATCGAGAGTTTTCTTAGATCGAGGTCTAAGATGTAATTAACTACGGGGGCTTGCGCCCGTAGGAAACCGATCCCCACAATCAAATAAACCTCATTCGAGCTGATGTATCGAATGAGGGAAATCTCGTGAATTTAGGGTTATAGATATTATTATCCATCGAGGTGCGTAGGTGAAAACCCGCTATCCTCCATGGCTAATCGTATCTATAACTCCATCTGCTCTTCCATCGGCCTGCTTGTGCCGAGTGTAAAGGTCTACGACCATTTTGTCCTTCGGGATAGTGTGATCGCACCCTTTGCATTCGAACCACACGAGCGGAATCCTTTCGGAGACCCACAATCATTACTAGATTTTGACCAAATATAGGACACAATAAAATATCATGTAACTAGCTGGATGTCCTGTCTTGTTATTCAAAATCACATTTATGATTTCATTTACATGATAACACATATTTAATTGATAATTAGAATTGGAGAAAAATTTATAGGACCTTCATTGATACTAATACAACATGACATAATATATATATTGATGGACATTAATAGACATATTTATGTAGTATATGAACTCAACATATTGATATGACATATCGATTAATAAACATGTTATTATTTGATACATTATTGATTTTATGGCAGATTGATGATTTTTTTGGCTTACTAAACCGTTTTTCTATTGCTGATCATATTGGTTTTATTTATGATTACTATTCATGCAAAGATGGATTGATGTACATGTACTATTTATATTGATGGAATAATAATTGATATAAGTTTAGACTGATTATACATATTGATAATTTGGTCTTGCATTGAATGTAGTGGTAAGATTTTGTTGTTTGATGAGCTTTGTAAGTTCATTATATAGTTTTATTAATTTCAGGACAAAGAAAGAGCTGGGATCCTATTGAGCGAGGTTGATATGTATTATAAGATTTCTTTTCTTTTGTTTAATATTTTCTTTATTTCTTTTATCATCAGAAGCTTGAAATAGATTATTAATTGTATGTGGTCTATCGACTATTGTAATGTGATTTTGATGAATGAATATTGATACATTATCAAAAAATTATCTTAATAGGGCACGAGTCTCGATGCAAAATCAAGTTGGAAACTTTCGAAATTAAAAATAGGACCATCTGAACTCCGATTTCTAAACTTTTGTCAAATTGAGCGTCTCAAGAATACAAACCCAACGACACCAAATCCAACCCAATCCGAGCCCAAACGGGTCCAAATTAAGGGTTAGAAACGCTATTGAAAGATTCAAACCACAATTTGGATTACCAAATGGTTTCCAAACATAACATACTTATAACCAAATTGAGCGGCTCGACGAGACGAATCGAACAAGCCCAGGATCATTAAAATCCGACATCACTAAGACATTCAAATGTCCATCAAACGGTCCATGATTAAGGGATTCAACATGGTCGTCCATCCAACCATTCCCCCATTTACCCTTGATCTCTCACCTATTTACGGACCATACCACTCCAAAAATCTATAAATAGACCCTTATTTATCTTGAAAGGGGACTCAAACAAGATGAGAGGAAGAGAATGAAGAAGCTCCTCCTCGATCATCGCCTGAGTTCGCTGCACCACCACTTGAGGCCCTCGCCTTCGCCGGACCACCACCTGATGTCGTCGCCTTCGCCGGACCATCGCCTGACGCCGTCGCCCTCGCTAGACCACCACTTGATGCCATCGCCTTCGCCGGATCACCACTTGAGGCCCTCGCCTTCGCCGGACCACGCATGACGTAATCGCCCTTGCCGGACCACCGATTGAGGCCCTAAACTCCGCGAGACCATCAACTGACGTTAGAATTCTGCCAAGTCATTGTCGCACTACTAAGCACTACTAACTGATGCCCCAACTTCCAAGTGACGTCATATTTAGCACTAGACTTCAACCATACAGTCGACATTTGTAATCTGATTGCCCTCTGGGACGAGTCAGCCCACTGTACTCAACTCAAATTCTAGTAAAATCTTTTCAACTGGGCTAAGCCCTGTGGTTTTTCCCCTTTCCAGCATTTTCCAGGTAAAAATCTTGTGATCTTTGTGTGTGAGCTGTATATCTGTGCAACGCTAAGACGTAGAATTACAACTCTATGTTCACGTATATTCTAGCCCGCAACAAATATAGTGAAGTCTTTTGATATATACGATTTTAGTTGCTTTCACTGGAAATAATTTATATTAAATGTATTATATAGAAGCCTTAATAGATGAATCAAAAGACAAAAATAGATAATTCTTTTATTTTAGGTCATGGGGCATTACAACTTTGACGATTTATCTTCCTTCATGAGGTGAGTTGTGAATTGGGGTGTAAGTGAGCCGAGTCAGCTCGAGCTCGACTCATTTATGGGCTCACGAGATGCGCTTATCGAGCTAACGAGTAGAGCCAGAACTCGAGCTCGAGTTCGAGCTTGAGCCGGCTTTGCTCGTGAGCCAATGAGTCGGCTTGAATAAATATTAATATTTTAAAAATAATTTTATTTTATTTATTAAATTTAAATATTAAAAATTAATAAAAATTGTTGCGTGCTAGAATATACGCGGCGGTAGAGTTAGGAAATATTCGTCTTAGCGTTGCACGAGTATTCCGCACACAAACAGAAAAGAGAAAGTGAACATCAAAGTTTTTACGTGGAAAACCCAAAAGAGGGAAAAAACCACGGGGCCTCGCCTAGTTGTAAAGTTCCACTAGTATTTGTTTGAAGTACAAAGGTTGATCCATCTTACAAATCAAGACGATCAATTTACAATCAACTTCTCACAAAGTTACAAAGTTCTGCAAATTCCCGGCGTTTCCCAAAAATCCGGCAGAGTTCCGGCGTCTTCAGGCGGCAGGAAGAGCTCCGACGGTGGTCGAGGAGGTGAGGAATCTCCTTTTCCCCTTTCTCCTCTCCTTCTTCTCTTCTTCTTCTCTATCTTCATTTGAGTCCCCTTGGTGTAGAATGAGGGCTCTATTTATAGTTTTTTCTGGAGTGGCATAGCCCGTAAATAGGCGTGAGATCAAGGGCGAATTGGGAGTTGTTTGAATGGACAGCCGATATCGAATCCTTTGATCATGCACCGTTCGTTGGTCATTTGAAGGCCTTAATGATGTTGGAATTCAATGATTTTGGGCTCGTTGGATTCCTCTCGTCGATCCGTTCGATTCGAGTATAAGCTCGTCAAAATCGGAGACCGTTTGGTAACTCAAATTGCGGTTTGAACCTTACAACAGCGCTTTGGACCCTTGATTCAGCCTCATTTGGGCTCGGATTGGGTTGATCTTGGTGTCGTTGGGTTCGTATTTCCGAGACGCTCAGTTTGACTATAAGATCGCTGGAATCGGAGTTCGGGTGCTTTCAAATTTAATTTTTGAAAATTCCAACTAGCTTTTGCCTCAAGATTCGTGCCGGATCAAGATAATTTTTGCATGATGTATCAAAAAGCATCTAAATTTTATTTAAATATTAAACATTTAATAAGATTGCATACGTTCAGAAAAGTCACATTGAAAATATGTTGTGAATGAGCAAATTTTCTTTACGAAGTGTAGCCAACTTTTGCTAAGTTTTTTTTTCAATCAAGAACTGTGACCCGAATCCGATCTACCCGCCGCGTAGGAATGACCAATCCATCGGACGCGCGCTTTCGGCTTGTCTCACGTCTAAGTCGGTCGAACCGAAAGCCTGAAGGGCGTAGGGTTTCATTTTCTTTTTCCCATGGCTTGCTGAGCAATCATTTCCTTTGGGCGATGGGCTCTTCGAAGGGTGGGAGGGAGAAGAACCGCGAGCTCAGTGATCACGTGCTCAAGCTTCGCCGGCGCCTTCAAGATGCTTTGTCCCTCGGCATCAGGTTATAAATCGTAGTTCGGTTCCATTTCTCGTTTTCGTTTACTGCGTTTTGCTTTGCTTTCCCTACTCACAATTTCAGTTGATTGATGAGGAACTGGAAAGGTGTCGCTTTACTATTGAGAAAGTGCTGCTGAGATTAGGCGGTTCTTAGAATTTGGTTGACTCATAAGAAACATTTAAGAGTAATGGAATTGATAACCTATGTTTGGGTTGAATGGATTGAAGGAATGGTTATATTACCAGAATAAACTTGATATGAAGCGTTGCATGGTTACACGTGATAGTGCACAAACAATAGTTCCAGGCTAATTGCAATGGTTTAATAAAGAGCTTCATGGCTTGTGTTCAGATGATCTTAGCATAATGAGGTTCTGCAGGATGGCGGTTCTTGTAGCCTTTACACCACTTGATTGCATCATCATAAACTTCGATAAAACACATCCTATTAGCACCATTCTCATGTTTGTGACATGTTAACGCCTTTTTGATAGATCCAAATGTTCGATTTTGATTGCATCATAACGAACTTTGGTGGTTATCTCCTCCATTGATCCATTCATTATTGCTAGGGACAAGATTTCTAACACTATTATAAAAAAAGTCGTGGCTAAGTTCTCTAATCATCAATTCCTAGAGGATCAAAATGTCCTCAATATAAGGGCATTTTGGTCCTATGCAAATGATTTGGCTCATTCATCCATCCTATGTTTTGCTTAGGTACCAAACCCCTTCATCTAAATGCTTGTAAAATCACTTCAAGGAGGCAAAGTAAAGGGTTTTCATCCCTCTCTTTCATTCCTAAGGAAAAAACACTCCTTAGTTGGTTTCAAGATTTAGCTTTTATAAACTTCAGCCATAGTTAGTAATTTCAGCATCATATGGTCTTCCTTTGGATAAAATTCTCAAGTTGGCTTGTTGACCTTTTATTTTAGCTAATTATGTAGATTATACAATATAAGACTGTAGATAATCAATTCATCTAAAGCTCCATTGGAATTGAAAGCCATTCTCAACTTGTAATAGTTAGACACCATCTATGGGAAGTCATCTTATCATGCTGATTAACAAAGTTCATTACTAGTTGATGACCATCTATATGCAAGGATTTACCAAACCTTGTTGAGATATGGAAAACCCGACCCTCTCCTCTTTACTAGAGTTCGATCTTCATCTCCGTTTCGTTATTCATCAACCTTTGGGGAAATTTGGGCTCTCCATAAAGAATTGGGGGAAACCAAGGAGGCTCACTACTTATAGGGGGCACTTCGGCAATATTTTTAAAGACAATGATGACTAAAGGTATATAGACACACACACACATCATGACATCTTAGAGATCTAAATCCAAAAAGATATATTCAATCATCCACGAACTTATAATTAAGAAAAACAAGATCTATCTATTATAACCACATGTTTCAGGAACTTTATATCAAATGAATTTACATGGTACATCAATAATGCATAATCTTTAACAGTGACAAATTACAACATGACCAAACATGTTCTAGAACCACGCTTAACTTATCAGTTCTTTCAATGGCTCCTTAGGTATTTTGCAATTACTCGAGGATCACTTGTCTGAAACGATAATGTAGGTGGGAGTCCATTGACCTAATGGTTAATTCTTATTTTAAATTATATAACATATCTTACTAGTTTTTATTAACTGATTAAGCAAGTATGGCATGATGTACAAGTCAAGTTAGCTTAAATAAAACATGATGTTCCATTTAAACATGATATTGCACATGAGACACAATTTAATTGGTTAAATAAGGCATGAAATAGGAATCATGGCATATCATCTTATATCTTTCATATTAGGACATTCCTGTTATATATTTTATTTTCTTTCATCATGCATTTCATTTCACAAGGCACATCAATTTCATGATTAACAAGGATTTAGGAAATCAAACAATCACTGACATATTAGCAAACATGCATAACTCACAAAACACAAAATGTGTACATGGGTCCATGAAGTACTATATTCCATGAAGTACTATATTCCCTGCCATCAAAGTGGTGTTTCTATCTACCAAAGTAGTATCACGTTTCTAGTATGCATGAAGCTATAGGTAACTAATACCATCCAATATAATAGGTTATATCGTTGCAAGAAATCACACTAGCCTCGACATCAACTACATAAACAATCAAACATCTGCGGAAAATAACCTTTTCACATATGTATTATAATGCACATATAAATAAATAATGCATCTTTATGTTTCCCAAACACATCCAACCACTTGTAAATAAGACCATCATTGAACAGACAAACAATTGATTTACCAAGCACCATAGCACAATAAATTCAAAGTTTATGTGCTTTAATAAATAACAAAGTAAATTATATCACATGTAGAAATCTAATGATTAGCATGCTTATTAATTATCGTTATCTTAATAGCATTACATGGAGTTATGTCAAGGGTAAAGCATCATTAAGCTTATATTTTATGCTTATGATAAGAACGTGTTTATATGAAGTTAGATTTCATCATCCTCATGTCTTTACAAGAATGAAATTGGTAATCTTAACTTGACTACATCTCTTACAATACCGTTGTGTGCATGCATGACACGATCAATGTGGAATTACCTATAGATAATCCTTAAAGATTTGTTTCCCCAAATCGTATATTATGTTTACATATAGGTAAACAATAACCTATTATAAAAATAATCATTGTTAATTAACTTATACATGATTATAGAACCTCAATCATCATTTACTTTTCTTTCCTTAGTCCACGAATTTATAATGAAAGTATGAAATATCACATTCTTATAGTCATATAAATTTGTCTGTAAGATATGCAATCTTAAATAATAATAATTATTTCATGAAATTATCCATGATAAATCAATGAAAAGGATCTAGGGTCTTACCATTGTTTCAGCTAAAGGAAGTGAGGAACTTAACTGATAGCCACCTCCTTTATGGTCCTATTGATTAAAGCATTGTAGCTCTTCTTCTTTCTTTGTTGCTCACCACCCCCTTACAATCTCTCCTTATCTCTCTCAGTCTATGATTTCTCTCTCCGACCCACTCTTTTGACATCTCTCTATCTCCCCATTAACGAAATCCCTTGCCTGTCTAATATTTCCACCTCCTCCTCCATCTATTGCTTGCCCATCAAATATATCAATTTGGGATTAAAATGGGCTACTTTGGCTTTTTTTAGACTACCTCTCTCACTCTCTCTTTTTATCTACCTAAATTGCATGCAAATATATCTCTCTCTTGACGTCATACTCACCATTTCTATTAACCACTTGCTTATGCTCCTCATGAAGGACCCAAGTTTTGCAATTAGCTTGAACTTTCCTATCATTATCGTTTTGAATTTATTTTGAAGGTCAAAGATGCTAAATAATTTGATCAATTTTTTTTGGCTTGAATTGATGCCAATGAGCCAACTAAAAAGCCGAGCCCTTCTTGGATCAAGCTTAATGGCTCGAATTGAATTTGCTGAAGAATTGATTGAAAAGCATATGTTTGTATGTATAAATTCATATACATATGTACATATTTAGTTTTGAATGATTTTGTATATGCATCTATGCATTCATATATATGAATGAACACCTAGACAAACTCTACTCAAAGCTAATCCCCATGCTCGATTCATATCATCAAATCTTCCACCTAAAGTTTTTGGGTGCTCTGCTTTTGTTCATATTTATTCACATGATAGGAGTAAGCTTAATCCAAGATAAAAAAATGCATCTTTATTGGGTATTCCCCAACAAAAAGAGTTACAAATACTTTTGCCTAACTTTTAGGAAGGTATTTGAAACCATGGATGTCACATTTTTTTAAAACAACCCATACTTCACTAGTTCTGAAATTCAGGGGTAGAGTGAAGGAGAATTTCAAACTTGGGAGTGAAATTCCTAATTATGCAACCAAACATAATCCAGTCAAAATCAACAAATATCACAAGAAATTCAAACCGCGAGTATTTTCCAAGTTATATCTCCTACGTCTCAACCTTCACCCATAAGTCCTAATCAATCACTGCAAAGAACATTAATTAAGGAACAACATTATGTATAGTCAAGGAAAAAAAGAAAAAATCAGCATATGCAGAGTAGTGAGACACATCTTGCATGTCAAATCTCCATTAATAGTTCTAGCAACTGTAGAGATTCATATAGAGGAGAAAAATGAGGAAGTTCAAAAGGAGATAGAGTCGTCAAATGACCAAAAAGAATCATGCACCAAGCATCCAATTGAAAACTCTCTCTCCTATAGCAGATTGTCAGACACTTATCAAGTCTTCCTTTCCAAGTTGGATGATGTGCAAATTCCGACCAATATCCAGGAATCTTTGAATCACCCAGGAAGGAGACAGACTGTTAAAGAAGAAATTATGATATTGGAGAAAAATCAAACATGGGTAATTATGAATCTCTCATCAGGAAAGAAAGTTGTGACCTGCAAATGGGTGTTCAACATAAAGCATAAGGAGGACGGTAGTGTTGAGAGGCTAAAAGTAGACTGGTTGCAAGAGGATTCACTCAGTTTTATGGAATAGACTATCATGAAACTTTTGCTCATGATGCAAAGCTCAACACCATTAGGATTCTTCTTTTCTTAGCAGCAAATTTAGATTGGCCCCTACATCAAATATATATCAAGAATGCATTCTTGAATTGGAATTTGAAATTAGAAGTCTAGATGGAGATTCCAATGGGGATTTAGAAGTCTTATGGAAGTTACGAAGTGTATAAACTGTCAAAATCCTTATATGGATTAAAGTAATCTCATAGAGCATGGTTTGGAAGATTATCAAAGTATGTAAAAGGCCACGATTTTAGAAAATGCTAGGCAGATCATTCCTTATTTATGAACCAGTCAGAAAGAAACAAGGTAGCAGTACTGATTGTATATGTGGATGATATCATACTTATTGGAAATGATATAGAGGAAATAATGAAGATCAAACAGGCTCTTTCCAAGGAGTTTAAAGTTAAAGATCTAGAATCACTTAGATACTTCCTTAGTATGGAGGTAGTTAGATCAAGCAAAGATATATTTGTTTTCCAATGCAAATATACCTTAGACCCACTGAAGGTGACTGGCCTGCTAGGATGCAGACCAATCAGTACATCTATGGATCCTAAGAAGAAACTTGGGATAGAAAAGGAAGGGGTTCCAGTAGATAAAGGAAGATATCAATGTCTGGAAGGAAAGCTTATATACCTCTCCCACTCTTGTCCAAATATTGGGTTTACTGTGAGCATGGTGAGCCAATATATGAGTAATCCTATGAAGGAGCACATGGAGATAATATATCAAATCTTGAGATATCTCAAGAACACTCCTGGAAATGGGCTATTATTCAAGAAAAATGAAGATAATTAATTGATCTTTTATTCTAATGCATATTGGGCAGGAAGCCAGGTTGACAGTCGATCGACCATAAGATATTGTTCATTTGTGTGGGGGAACTTATGACATGAGGAGCAAGTAATAATATGTTGTTTTCAGAAGCATTGTGGAATCTGAACTGAGAGCACTAACAATTACTATTTGTGAAGGTAGTTGGATCATACAAGTATTGATTGAACCAGGAATAAAGATTGAAGTCATGATAAAGTTGAAATGTGACAATTAAGCCACATTAATATGGCTAAGGATCCAGCACGTCATGACAGAATAAAACATGTTACCATTGATAGACACTTTATAGATCAGAAAATAGATAACTTAGAAATTGTAGTATATACCCCAACTCATGAACAACTTGCTGATATTCTAACAAAAGCATTATTGGGCTCTCTACTTGATAAGTTTGTTTGCAAGTTAGGATTGTACAACCTACACAACCCAACTTTCGCGCAGGGTGGGGGGGGGGGGAGTGTTGAATCACCCAGCAGGGAGGGGGCCCACGGCTTTGACATATTAGCAATCAGTGGGTTGGAGTTGGAGATTTTCTCTTCTGACACCAAGATCCATGGCATTGATTCCAAGATCCGGGGTATAATTATTAGAATCAATTAGATTAAATGATTTTCCTCTTATGTTTATTATAATTAATTTGATTAAATGTCTTTCTTTTTCTGTTTATTCTCCTAGAGTGTATATATATGTAATGATTCCAAGGAATAAAATTTGAGTTCAATTTCCCCTTAACAATTTCTTCATAAACAAACCTTTTGGTTATATTATGCTAATAACTAACCTATCATCGGGGCAAGGATATTGGATTTGGAGTTAAAGAACCTAGTAGGTTGATATCTTTGTTCTAATCATTAACATCTTAAATATTTCTTTAGTTTGCATTATGGAGGTTTGTCAGACTAGAGAAGCTTTGGGAAAGCTGGCTGAGTAATCACACGTGTTGTGTTGGGGCCTACCTCGCAGTACCTTCTTTTAACTTATTGAAGAGGAAGACTTTAAAAATTTCTAAGAGCTCAATCGTTTCTCTGTCACTCTGCCTTAGACCAAAGAATTAACAATTCTTTCACTTTTTTTATCTCAACTTGTTGAGGCTTCGCACGTTTTTGAATTTGTTTGTTTTTATTGTTGAAGCATTTTGATCAAAAAAATAGATTGACCCTCGGGGATTTTGTGTTTTGAATATTTAATGTTTGTGTGGATGTTGGCTCATTTGGTTATGATCTTATGCGAAGTGTGCCTGTCAATGGGGTATAGCCTGAGCAGATTTGTCTTGGCTTCTTGATGTAAGATTGGCAACTACGTATAATTTGATTTGTGTATAGTTAGTTTGTGGACTATAGTTCGGAGGTCTAGACTTGATTGACTTGATTTGTTGATTAGAAGTTCAATGTTTGGATTGTTTGATCTTGAGAGCTAAGCATATTGACACATAAACTGAGACAACAAAGCCAACATTGTTATGTGTGAATCTTCTCCAATTTTATCTTATGCTTGCAAGTTTTCTATTTCTAGTGCTATCGATTTAAAAATTTGTTCTATTTGAAAGTTAACTTGAGAACCTCGCTTACATGAGTTATTTTGGAGAGATGCTAACTTCTTTTTATTTTTATAGTACTTGTGCTGATATATTTTAGAGGGTTGCATTACTATTACGTGTGTTATCTATTTTAATATGTAAAAAAATTTATATAAATATATATAGTATTTTGTTGTTATCATGTATATTTCATGTGCATATATATATATATATATATATATATTGCTATTATTTTAAAACGTGTGTGTGCGCGCGCGAATCTCCTGCAAATCCTGTCACTTGTGTACATCATTTTCTTGTATTGCAACTTGAGCAATACCGAGCTACCAGGGGGCTTTATGAGTTCTTTCAATATTCTAGATGTATTAGGGTTTGTCTTTTTGGCAAAATGATCGTTATATTTATATGACATTTATGGGCAATTCTTTGTGAACTTATATTTGACTTCCAGTATTATTGTTGCATTTGATATGCTTATCATGTGAATCACATATGAGGTCAACGAATATTTATCTAAGATGTATAAATATTGCATAATGTTGAAACACATTATCTTTACTTTGTTTACAATCTTTAATTTGTACTTGCTGTTGAACCTCATATTCACCAAATGGTAAGTTGCTTCTTAAGTCTAAGTGTCATATTAGCTTCTGGTGATTTAGTAGCAACCTTTTCCAAAATAATTGAACATTTCCCACTGATTTTGATTTTACACATCTGCTCCATGGGAATCAAATATATTATTGAAATCTTACAAATTTTCGATCCATGTTGAATATTTTTTAAGATTATACCTCCAATTGAATAAAAAATATAATTTTTTAACCTAAAGATAATAACTTGTCATTTTCTCAAATCTTAACTACCCAATTCTGTTTAGATTACATTATTTATTGATCCAATTAATATATCCTATTTTTAGTTGAAATAATGATGCAAATTATAAGCTCTGTTATTAATTTAATTCTTGTTGGTTTAGGCTAAGGGTTTTCTAATACAACTAGAATGATGTAACATATGCAGATAACACAAGGGAATTTATGTTTCATAGATCACAAACCATTAAAGAAACTAATGATTTACCTTCTTTAAATGCAAATAGTAAATATGAGAATTAAAACCCGAACAATGTAATGACAAATTCAAAGATGTCAATGACATTTGACTCACAAATTCAAGAGTAATTACAATTTAATCACCACAATTAAAAATCCGTTTGTGCCAAATTTGAACAAAATAAAGATTAATAGCAAGTTAATAATGAGTTATGTAGAATATGTTAGATTAAAGAAATAGTTCACCAAAAAAATTCAAAACTCACGTACATAAAAGATTTTTTTCTTTGGATCAAGTAATTGCACTTGTATCCCACATGAAGGAATCACACATTTAATTGCATGCACAAAATTGAAAACTAGAAGAAGAAATTTTATTCAATTAAATCTCCTTTTATATTCCTTAGTATCCCTTATCTATAATCATAGGATCTCCTATCCCATAACACAATATCTCAATTTAATGAACAACTTGTTCCATTTGAAATCTTCTGAAGGGTTATATGCTGAAATCATGCAAAACAAAGGTGGTAGAGGCTAAACAAAAATGTTTGCTTTGAAATATTGCATGCAGTGAAACCGGAAGTCACGCTAGAAACCTACTATTCAGATGACATACATATATTAGGCATCCATTTATGCCGTAGTTCCTCCAAAAATGTAAACAAACAAATTTTTTACAGTTGCCACACTGTAGTGGATCTGGCTGTGAAAAGCTCTTTCTCACTATAGAAATTTCTTAAAATCTAAAAAAATTGTTGTCAGATGGAAATGTTAAAGTAAAGTTTAGAAAAAGCTGTCCTAACAGCAACCAAGTCTCAACCATTCTTTAAATTGTATCCATATGATGATCCAATTGAAGGTGCACTTAGTTAATCACGTCAAAGGTTGTATGCATCGTTTACTACAACTTGTTTATTGAATTTTATATTAGAAACTTACATGAATTGAATAGATGTCTCTTATTAGCCATTTTAAGATTTGCCAATCTTTTTTTTTTTACTTGTCACTCTTTTTTTTTTACTTGTTACTCTTTTTTTTTTCTGATTTTGTTTTTGCTCATGCGGTAGGCTGATTGATGGGAAAGGTAAGAGATGGCAATGCCTTGATGCTGAAATTCAATGTTATGCTCTTCGAACAATGGTTGCTTTTATCGAGTGTATGTCTTCTGCTACCTTGCAACATCCTCTAATAAAGGTAATTAGTATCTATTGAAATACTAATGATGATAACAGTTAATCTTTTGCTAGAGAAGAGCATAAGCATGTGTCCTGATTGTAAATACTTTTTTTTATAAATGTCTTATGCTTTCTTAGAAGTATTCTTTGAAGTAGAACTTACTTCAAAGAGATATAAATGGATTAACATATGCAAAATTCATCATGTCCCCGTTGTTTTTGATACTTTGTGTATTTTGCTTTTTGGGTGGATGCTGTAATTTGAAGATGGTTTTTGTAGATAATAGATTGTAAGCTTATCTTTGTAATCTATGAATATCCTTAAACCAATGTGAATGGGTTATTTTGGTTGGATTAATTAACCAATCTTTTCACAACTCCAACCCTCCATTGAACAAAGAACAATGATCTCCATCCTCTTCCTCCTTTTGAGTTTGTCTTCTTCTTTGTTCCTTCTATTCCCTCCTATTGCCACCCATTTTCTAACATGTCCTTGCCCATAACTTTGCGGCAATCTTCTATACATGCCCCCATCATACCCCCCTTTGGAATTAAACTGATTGCATAAATATTTTACAATAAGTACTTGTGATTGTTTTTTTTTTTTTGCTGGCAGGAACATATGTTAGGCATAAATATAAGTAATTGTAATCTCTTTTCTTGGAAGGCGGGGAAATACTATACTTTGTGAGTACTTGAAGACCCGTGACTATCTTTCTTGGCAAGTAGAAATAAAATTTTTTTATCGCAGTGTCACATGACATCTACCGTTACTGTCTTCTTGGCAGGCATGAAGGCCTATCACACCCTGATGCAGCCTTCTACTTGGAGACAACATTGGGGTCCTGGCGTGCTGCTAATAAAATAAAAGACTTAGATAAAATTGAAATCTAACCTTAACTCCCAAGTCAACAAAAAATGCATGAAAACATAAGTTTTAAACATTGAAAATAGATATGAACAAAAATTAAAGCATAACGAAAAGAGTTTACAGAAAACTAGTTACTAGCCAATCAATACAAGCACAAACTAAGTTCATTATCCTACGAAAGAATCGAATCATCAACACAAATTATAGGTTCAATAGTTAGAACTCCAAATAGAATGCTCAAAGCCTCCAACATTATTCAATTAAATAATGAAATTAGGTTATAGGCTTATAGCTTAATCTTTCAAATAGTTTCCCAAACCCATATGAAAAAATTTTAACTCAAAAAATTGCACTATATCTTCTCCAAATCCCAAACCTATATGAAAAAATTATAACCCAAATTATAATTCAAAAAATTATAACACATCGTTTAAACAAAACATACCTACGTCTAAACTCGATCGTCGGATTATGAGGAATATCGATAATTAGAAAAAGTCATTGCAGTGATAGAAGCTAGAATAATGAGAACTAAACACGCCAAATGCACTAGAAAAGCTTGTCGCAAACCATACCTTCACTGTGTCGGCCTACTTGCGTCACAAATGCACTAAAAAAGCCTCAATTCGTGTCAACCTGCTCGCGTTACCTTCATTGCTCGCGTCGTCGAGCCGCTCCATCGATGAAGGTTATCCCTTCGGCTTCAATGCTCATGTCGTCGAGCCACTCCTTCGACGACAATGCAGAAGACGAAGGATGCTCGCGGAAATGGAAACCCTAGCTAGAGCTGCTCGTGGAAATGATCGGGTCATGGAAATGAACAGCCAAATCGATCGGGTCGCAAAAATGAATATGGCAAATCGAGTGGCTGTCTTTTTTTTTTCTTTCATTTTTTAATAGGACATGCGTAACCGATACATATGTCCTGTCAAATTTAAACTATTTTAATTGGACACGGCTTTGGACACATATCCGTGCCGTATCGGAGGCGTGTCCGTATCCGACGCGTGCTCGATACAACATACCTTTGTAAATATGAGTATTGTTGCTACATAGCTTACAATAATATATATATATATATATTCCAAGGAGCCAGCACCTCAGGCCGTGAGTTCAAAGCAGCAAAGCCACGGGAAATTTCTTCCCAGTTCGGAATTCAGCTCCACATTAAACCAGAACAGGAATCCAAGGAGTTCATGTCTCGGTAAGCAAACAGCCCGCTAGAATCCAAAGCAACACAGGCTCGGGAAACCATCAAAGCACGGAAAAAACAATGGCTGGCCGAACTCCCAAGAGTTTAAAGCACATTTATTATAAAGTTATTACTTTGAATTCAGCCACCATTTAAAAGTAAGCCACGGTTCTCCAAGAGACAAGAAGAAAAGGGGAAGGGGAAGGGACAAGGCCACTCCAAAAGTAAACTTCATAATAATGTACCTTTTTTTTTGGATAATAATGAGCTACTAAACTTCAGCTCAAGCAACTTAGGGAATAAGCTCAAAACCGAATGCTCCAAAACAGCCAACTCGAGAACCACCAGCAGCCAGGGACCAATCGAGCCAGCAAACCAAAGGTCTACCAAGCCATATGCACACCTACCATGATCATTGGATGCTTTCCAATCATAGGATAGCTAAAAAAAGAAAAGAAAACAAAATACACGATTATTCAAATAAAATAAAAAGTACATAATTCTTGATTTCATCACAATTCTATATCTATATTCAAATGAAAATCTTTAGACTGTACGATTGACCTCCATAATTCAAGTTTTCCTTTAACTCCATCTCTTGTCTTATCAACAAGAAGAAAATCATCCTCAAAAAGCATACACCGCAAAAGCATACACCATGATACATCTTGCAAATGTCTAGTTAGAACATTCATGATTAAAGCAAAAGGATATAGTCTTAAAGCTGTTTCTTGATGTAATCCAACATAAATAGGAAAATACTTGGCCAAACCACCTTGTGTTTGAACACAGGTAACCGTTCCTGAATACATATCCTTAATAACTTAAATATAAATATTATTAACTTCTTTTTTTTTTAAACTCTCCAAAGCACTTCTCTTAGAACTTTATCATATGCTTTAGTTAAATCAATAAATATCATATGTAGATCCTCCTTGTTTTCTCTATACTTTTTCATCAAACCTCTCAATAAAAGTATAGCTTCTATAGTAGACCTACTCAACATGAATCCAAATTAATTTTGAGAAAAATTAGTATCACGTCGTAACCTATGTTCAATAACTGTCTTCCATAGTTTTAATGTATGACACATTAACTTAATTCTTCTATAATTCGCATACTCTTGTGCATCATTTTTATTCTTAAAAATAGGATCCAACACACTCCTCCACTCATCTAACATCTTTCTAGTATTCAAAATAATATTAAAAAGTTTCATAAACCAAAAAATTATTCTATCTCTTAAGCATTTTCATGCATTTATTGGAATATTATCAGGTCCAATAGTTTTTCTACACTTCATTTTCCTTAAAGCCTCTCCTTTAGTAATATGATGATAAAAAAAATATTTTCATTTTGTGTGTTAAAGTTGCTAAAGTCAATCGTATTATCACATGAATTTTTTTCACCCCTCATGAGACAACTTAAATGATATGCTGGGAGGGGGTTTTTAAACTTGTTTTGGTGTTTTGGACTCATTGGGATTGTTAGTTTAGTGAAATGGATGATATTTTAACTCTTTTATGTAAATATGTTATTATGTGGCAATTCTTTGTGAAATTGTATTTGTCTTCCATCATCTTCATAGCATTCGGTCATATTGGCTTGTGGGAACACTTGGTGATTAATATAGACAAAGGACTTGCGTAACTATGATTTTGTGGATTGTGATATTTTTTGCATGGTTTTTGCCAATATGTTCAATGAACAAGGATTCCTTTTGCTTTCATGCCCAAAGCCAAAGCCAGTTTTATTAAATACGAGTATTTATGATTTATAATCATATATATTATGTATATATAATTATTTATTACTCAATCAAATTTAAATCATCAAGTAATAAAAATTATCAACAAATATAATGATACATATAATAATATTAATTTCTTACTATTCAAATGTTAATTAAAAAAAGAATAAAATATATAAATGATATAAATAACGTGGTGCTAGAAGAATGCTTAAAAAAATCAAGAATATACTCATGAGTTTGAGTGACAATGCTATGATGTGACATAACAAGCGCTTTTTTGCAAGCTTGTGCTTCACAAACAAGTGATTCATATGGCCAGCACATCGTTTTACTTCGCTCCTAAAGCCTACTTTTAATAATGTTGGTTTGTGCATCACATCTTAGATTTACATTCGGGAAACTATAGACCATAGGAAGCCTGTTCGGAATTGAAGGTTTAATTCAATTGCATCTGTTGACACAAGTTAAAGACCTGATTTTGGTAATATATTTTTTTTCTTGCCTGAAGCCTCTTGTTTTCTACGTTGTTTTTTTCAGTGGAAATTGTATGCATGCTTTTCCTTGGTGGTACATTTTGGTCATTTTAAATCTTATCAATATTAAGTTGGTATATACCAAGCTTTTTAAATATGCCTTTTTTATTATTGATGCCAGGACTCCATTGGGGACATGCTAGTAGCCTTGGAAGGAATCCTTCAATCTGAAAATGAAAGAAATTTGAGCCTGACAATTGAAGTTGTAAATAAGTTATTGAGCAGTTTAGGGAGTTCTATACGTCAGTATCATGTGGTTGAGGTAGTGTTTGCTCTATCACGCTTGGTGTCATTATCTCACCCAGTGGTTATTATTTCATCTGCAATTGCCTTAAATCGCATCCTGACTAACCTTGGTCACATGAGATCTGAGGTCTACATGGAAATATGGAAAGCTTTGGAAAAGGCCAATATAGTACACAATATTTCTCTTGGCCTACAGGATTATCTTGTTGGAATATCATCATCTGAATATTTCATACAAATGAGTTCACTTCTTAAGACTATATTGTGGAAGTGGCCTTCCTCTAGGTATTGTGTTTGGAGCAACTCTAATTTGATGGCTAAACTGGGAGACGGATTATCTGATCCAGATTCTAAAATAATTGTTGGTGTTCTGAACTTGTGTTCTGCTTTAGGTATCATTAAACTTTGTCCATTCTTTATATTTAGTCGCATACATATTTGTGGATTAGTTTCTCAATTTAATCTTCTTTTTTATTGAAACACACTAGTTTGTTTCAGCTCTTTGTGGTAACGGGGCACTGAAGATTTTAGAGAACGAAGAGCTTCTTTCTAAAATTGTCTGTGCCCTGGAAAGTTCACAGGATTATAACGTTCGAGTAGAAGCACTGAAAATATGTCAACAATTATCGGTACAAATTATGAAGCAGAGAATTTTGTAACATTTACTGCTCATAATGCATAATAACTTCCTTTCTTAACAGAGATCTCAAGAGGGATGCTCGAAGCTAACCAAAAGTCACTGTGACTCCATTGTTCAAGGAATATTTGCTGCAATGAGTGAATGGTGTTCATTGGGTTCTAGAAAGGTACCCCCTGATCAAATGACTTTAGTAAAGGAAGCATGTCAATCTGCATTAATGACGCGCTGGGCTGGGATTCATCATTCCTATTTCTGGAAGCTTAAGGTAGATAGGATCCTTCTTGATGTTCTTACAGGCAATACCAGCACAGCTTTCGGAAATGAAATTGTATTCCATCCAGAAGACATAATAGCTGAATTTTCTAGTAGCTGTATAGAAATAAGATCATACATTTGGAATATTCTTGGATATATTGCAGCACATTGTGCGGAAGATTTTCTTCCCTATAATGGGAAATCGGGTTACTTAGAAGTACTTATTAACATTGCTTGGTATGCTTTTCCTACTTGTCCAAAATATCACTTTCATGTTTCATTGTAGGCAGCACATTCCTGTTACATGTATTATATTCCTTTGTGTTGTTGAAATGCGCATTCTACTACTGTTTTCGTGAATCTTATACTTTTCCCTCCTTTTTTAAACAGCTTAATGGCCAATGAGTTTTGGTATAATGGCAAAACATGCTCATCGTCTAATTTATGTGAAGTTGAGCCTATTTCTAGGGCAGTTCTACTGATGGTTTTTTCACCCTGCAAGTTCATTTCATCACAGGCAAGAAATTGCATAGCAAAAGTGGCCTGGACTTCCGGCACTGAATACCTTGAGAAGTTATTAGGTTCCCTGATGTTTAATTTTAGTGGTGACGCCTCTCCAGTTTCATACAGTCTTCATACTCTCATTAACCTTGTAAGTCTAGCTTGCTATTCAACTTTGCCATTATATCAACAGTTCATAGTTCAAAGAAAAGGTATAGATCTATTGGCTGATATCATTAGGAAGTGCTTGAAAAATGAGACACATGTTAGCATGCCAAATATTACTTCTCATCTGCATGGTGCTTCTGATGGAAAACTATGTTGCTGGAGTAATATAGAAGATTGGGTAGGTGGGGACCTGATCTTGTTTCACAGTCTTCAGATACTTTCACAATTGATACCTTTCTCTAACTTCATATGCGATTATTCCAAGATAATCTCAAGAGACTATGTCACCTCCAATAATTTGGGAGTTTTGGTTGAATCTTTGTTCAAGAGTCTTAGCAGTATATTAGACAACACTTACAGCCCTGGAAGCAGATGGTATGCTCAATACGTGTTAAGCTTCTTTGGGCTATATGGCTTTCCAAGCAAGCTTGGCAAACGGATGGGCGTTGCACTCACTGAAAATGAACTTGCTGACATACAATTTTTATTTACAAATGGTCAGCCTTTGAGAGTTCATGGTTCCATTCTCGTGGCTGTCTGTTCTTATCTTCTACCTCCTAAAGATTCTTTCATTAAGAAGAATATATTGGATTGTGAATCTTTGAAAGGAAATAGGCAGCACGGAACAAATTTCAGACATGAAGTAAAACTGTCTGAACGTGTTGATAGTTCCGTGCTTATGAAGATTCTGGATTATATTTATACGGGGTTTATTATTGTTGAAGATGATGAGGTAAAATCTGTACGTATTCTAGCAAAGCGCTGTGGCTTGAATTCCCTGTCATATATGCTTAATAGAAAACTTCCAGAATGGGGAACTCCTGTCCCAAACTGCGACTTTAGCCATGCACTTGAACCAGCAGAACATCATCTTTCGTAAGTTTAATATTTGGTAAAATTAATGAATTGGTAGTTTATTTTTCTCAGATGTATTACTTTGTTAATACAACACAAATTCGAGTGTTGCCTCAAAGTAGATTCATAATTTAGGTTAGGTGGTGATTTTGATGTGCAATTATGGGGAAAATGATGGGAAAAATTAACGTGATCAAAAGATGGTTAAAGTTATTTAGATAACTTAAAATATACATCAATTGTGGTTCTTTCTAAGCAATGGTGTTAGGTATTGACTCAATATTCGTGCATGAATTATATGTTGAGGTAGGTATTAAGCTTCTTGTTCGAAAACTTGGAAATGGGTTAGGTCAATTTATATAAATACATTTGCTTTGGGTTTGCGGCTATATAAGTTGATGCATGAAAGCTTAATTGGCATGAAAGCATAATGCAATTTTGAGTTTTTCTGAGGGAATTGAGATGAGAGAGAAGAGGGGAAATGAGCAAAAACAAAGAGAAGGAGATCACAAGAGGCTCTTTTTTTTTTTTTAAATTCGATGTATTGTCTAGACTAACTGATGATACTTTGTTGGGGAACTTTTGAAGTCGGCAATGTTTTTATATTTGTTTAATCTTCTTTGTTTGTTATCTCTCTCAAGTTAATCCTCTTTTACTTTTCTCAAAAGACTTTGGGCTTCTGTTTTCTTTGTTGATTGAAGATGTGTTTGAATTTTGTGAAGGGTTGGTGAATGTTTTTTATGTACACCAAGTTTGTGGCTTTTTTTAGTAGATCGGATCTTCTTTCCTCTCCTACGGACATAGGCGTATCATAAAGATTGATCCCCCCTTAAAGTTTCTTTGTGGTTCATTGTACTTGTTTTGCTTGTTTTTGGGCTAATGCTTTTGCGGCTTAAAATTAGGCATACTTTTTTCCTAATAACTGGTATCAGATTGGAGGCTTATATTGAATAAGATGATCACGAAGTTCAAGATTGAAAAGTTCGATGGCTCAAAGAGTTTTGGAATTTGGAGAGCCAAGTTATGTGGTGTTTTAGTTAAGTAGGCCTTGTGAAAGCACTCATGAGGCATGTTGAGGTGCTTGAAATTATGAGTGAATAAGAAAAATAAAGATGAATGAAAGGGCTCTCTTAGAAATTCAATTATATTTGGCGGATGACATCTTAACAGAGGTCATAAAGGAAACAACCATAAGAGGTTTGTGGCTTAAGTAAGAGTTTTTGTGTATAACCAAAAATCTGTCCAGTAAATTCTATTAGAATTTGAAATTCTGGTTGTTTCATATGAAAATGCGTATGCCCATTAAATCATATTTGAATGATTTTAATTTCGTTATTTGAGATTTAAGGAATATTAATTTGATTGTCGATGGCAAAGATTGAATTTTATTGTTATAATGCTCTTTATCTTGCTCTTACACCTATTTTTGTGGCACCATGTTGCCTGGGAGAGTACAACTAGCTTAAATGATGTAAAAAAAATACTTTTTTTGAAGACGCGATTTTTAAGCTGGAGTGTACAGGAAATTAAAGCTAATTGAGGGATTATTAGTTATGGGGAGATTTTTGAGGAAGGTTCTACCTCTTACCATGATTGGATTAATTATTGTGGCAGTTTCAAGATTATTACCTGCTTATATCGTAAGAGGAAATGACATGTTTAGAGAGATTTTAGTTCTTTGAGGAGAAATGAAGAACATGTAAATGGAAATCACAAGGAGTGCTTAGCTAATGCATATGTTGTTGTATATCGGTTTTCTTATGATATTTGTGATTCTCTTTGGGGATTGACGGATATAGGTGCGAAGAGTAGTGGATTCTAAACTTAAACTTCTTCAATTCATATTTATTTATTGTGGTGATATTTTCCTTGTGTGAGCTAGGTTCTGGTGGCTGCGTTGATATGAGAAATAGAATTGTGTGCAATGCTGTAAATTTTGGCACTATAAAGTTGATGAGACAGAATATTGTTATTGTTTTGTTGGCTAGAATGTATATAGATCTAAGAAAAGATTTAATATCCTTAAGTTCTCCAAGTGTTGGAGGATAAAAGTTATTTTGTAATGCTCATGCTCTTAAGGTCTGTAAGGGTCCTTTTTAATTGTTTGGAGGCAAATAGAGTTGAACATTATGCATTTTATGGTTATTTTGAAGGTAAATAGAGCTGGTGAGCTATGTGATGCACAGTGCAATATTAAATGATGATTTGTTGGATTTAATGACGTCGGTGAAGCATTGAAATTTGGAGAAGCAAAGGAAAGCTAGCTTCGAGGCTGTTGGAAAGATTTCAAAGCTAGAAGAGGCACCATGGGCAAAATTTTGGAGATTATTGGGAGGAGATCGATCTTTTGTTGTAAATCTATCCCGGTGTTAGGTTGTGCCATTGCAGTATCTAAGGTGAGGAGATGGCCACTTCAAGTGTATGAAATCAGTGGTTGGTGCATAATTTAGTTTAGATGTACCTTTGTAGAGTGCAACATTTATGGTACACAACATTTCCATGGGTACTTAGCTTGAAAGACATTTACATTTGATGAGACTGTGAGATTGAGCCTTTCAAGGTTTTTGGAGCTTAGAGCTCATTTTGGGGAGGATCTGCTACATGAGAGATCCAGTTATTGTCATAATGTTGAGTCAAGGGGAAGATTTGTTTGGTATTGAGTTTATATTCATGCATGGATTGTATGGTGAGGTAGGTATAAAGTTTGTTGTGTAAAAAATTGAAAATGGATTAGGTGACGGATTAGATATTGACTCAATATCCATGCATGAATCATACGTTGGGGTCAGTATCAAGCTTCTTGTGTGAAAGCTTGAAAATGGACTAGGTGATTTTGTATAAGTTAGGTAAGCTTTCATTGAGTTGGTGGTTATATAAGTTGATGCATGAAAGCTTAATTGGCATGGAAGCATAAAATAATCTTGACCTTTTATGAAGTACTTAAGAATAACTAAGAAGAGAGGGAAGAGTAGGAGGAAGGAGCAAGAAATAGAAGGAAATTACAAGAAGATTGTTTTAAGGAGTTCAATTATCATCATGACTAAACAATACCTTTTTGAGGAATTTTTGAAATGGATAATTATTTGCTTTCTCTCCTAAGTTATTTCACTCAAACTTGTCTAAAGGGACTTGACATTTCTTATCTATTTGTTTGGTGAAGCTATACTTGGGTTTGGGGAGGGCTTGTGTGTGTCATTATTGCACACCACAATTGTGATTTTCCTTTTAGTGAATCAGATCATCTCTCATCTCCTATGTATATAGGCTCATTTAAGCTTTACCATGGAAGTTTTAGTGCTCTGATTTGTGTTACTTGATCTCTTTAAAAGTTAATTGTGGTTATCATGCTTACTCTTAGGTTTACACTTTCGTAACATAAAGTTGGGCATACTCTTTTCTTTAGAAATAACAAAGAAATGAGGATGGAGTTTAAATGAAATAATTTGAATATGCTATACTTGATGAGGTCTTATGTTGTAATTTTGGTTCAGTAATATTTTCTATGACGTAATGGATGTCATATCCTCTCACAATAGAAATAAAGAAACAGCCTAAGGAAAGTAAAACCCCCCATAGTTCAGTTTTGCTCATTTCTAAGATTTTATTTTTATTTTTAGGTTGAATTGTGCTGTGCTGATACGTTGTTTTTTGTTGATAAGTTTCTTGTTGTTGCGGAATATGTTGATCCCTCATTTTTTGTTATACAGGGACACTATATTGGAAGCGAATGAGATTACTGGAGTGACTTGGACTTGTGCTATGTGTGTACTAACTTTGCCGCATATTCATGCGCACAGGGTCATATTATGGTCTAACTGTGGTTATTTGCGAGCACTATTTCAGTCAGGAATGAGTGAAAGGTGAGTCTTAATTTTTTACCTTTGAAGATAATTGGCGTCATCTCTTTGTTTCTTTGGGTTTATATTATCTACAGGTAAATATGGCAGTTGCTAGCATAGTTATTCTACTTTCTACAACCATTAGCAAACTCCCAGTGCAGCTGCATAGGAAACATGCTGATTTGAAGAATCTAAGGGTGGTTTTATAGTTATAGATGACAACAAAGATGATTTCCTACAAGTAATGAAGCGTGTGCTATTAAATGTGCGTGGTTATGATGGGAGTTATAATTTGAATGCATTAAACATACCTCTAAAAGCTGGATTATGAGAATCATTGCTTTCAGATCATAATGAGATAGATAGCAATTTATAATTTGTACTATAAACCATGTTGGTGTTCTTTTTTGATTAGCCCAAGTAGAAGAAGAAGAAGAAGAAGCCTTTAGCCCACTACGTGGGATGGGCTACTTGAATCTTTTTCTCCAATGTGTTCTATTAAGAATTGAATTCTCATTTAAATCTAATAAAAAATGTCTTTTTTAATACTTTCTAACCAGGTCTACCTGATGGGGACATCAGATCGTGGAAGGTTTATCAGAGACGTGGCCGCCGATCTACGGCCACGATCGAGTTTTTGTATTTTTGAGTCATTTGTGTTATTTTATTATTCATGCATTTTATTTATTATGTCTTTATATTTTCTGTTTGTACCCCTTTAACGGGAAGTGTCGTATGTAAGCCCAAAGGGCAGGAGTGTCTTTTATTTCATTGAGTCATTATATCTGGCTATTTATAGCCTCTTCTTTCATCTTATGAATGAATGAATGATTGCTTATTAAAAATTTCTTCTCGCATGAGAGTTAGGAGAGCTTGAGAGTTCTAAAGGAGAGAGCTTCCTAGGAGAGGAAGAATCGTGCAATACCCACCAACCTAGATAAATCGGGTTCGTGGTTTCCGTACTCATACTCTTTTCCTTTCTTCATCCCCACTCCAACATCAAAGCCGTCGAGCCCCTTCACCTAGCTGAAACCCCTTCCCCTCCCTCCTAACCTCACGGCCAAAACCTCCAAACCCGAACCCCCATGCCACCGGTTCCACCAACCTAGCCGCCGGCTCCACTCCCTCTCGCCCATTAAATTCCTTGCCTAATTTGGGGTGGACATATTTTTGGCAGATTTCAAATTCAAGTTCATGTAATTTGAAATTTGAAATCTTTCCTAATTTATGAATGCTATTTTTGGAAAGTTTCTTAATTGAAACTTATTTGAATTTAAAATTCAAAGAGGATTTTAAAATCCCTTTCCTAATATTCAAAACCAAATCAAGCAACATTAATTTCCCTACACAAATCCCTCCCTCTCTCCTTAATGTCGCCGACCCCCCTCTTTGTTTTGGATTAGGAAATATTTCCTAAAACCCCTCCTTGTTTTAAGTAACAATTCCAATCTCCCCCAAATCTCTCTTAGCCGAAATTTCCTCCCCATAATTTCCTCAAATTGATTTCCTAATCTAAGGGATTGATTTGGGAAATCAAATCCCCACCCCTCATCTACCCGCCGCCCCTCCACTTTCCCCTTTTCCTCTTGCCGCCTCTCCCTCTTTCTCCCTCTCTCTCCAATCGTCTCTCCCCCTCTATTTTATTCCAAGAGAATTGATGCCTTGAGTTCTCTCTTCCCAATTCCTCACTCCTATTCCAAAATCTGAAATTTCTCTCAGATTTTTGGAGCAAAATCTGAACTTGTTTTCAGATTTTTGGGAAAGAGACTTGGAGTTTGTTTCTTCTCCCTTTGCAAGAGAAACTTCTTTCTCTTGGCCACCAATCGAGAGGAGCATCAACCGCTAAGAAGATTCTACCTTCGATCATCCATGAATGGCGGATCCGGAGACTGAATATGGATTAACTTGGGGGGACGACGGCTTCACCGACATCCTACGATCCACCTTCTTCGACGTGAATCCGAGGATTGACCACACCGTCGAAGACTATTTGGAGGCTTGGAGCGAATTCTATATACCTTGGTGGAAGCTATCGACGAACACGTCGAAAGCATCGAGTGGAGGATCTCCACCTATCCTTGACAAAGGTTTCTCTTCCTCCTTGCATCTTACCTCTTTTAGTCTAACTCCTCTTGATTTGATTGCAGTCATGACGGACTCCTCCGCATTGCTCTTGCTTAAGCTTAGTAAACGTAGGATTTGAGTGCACCTCTATGATATCTAATTCTCATTGTTAAACTAGGTATTATTTTGAAAACTACTATTATTCGTTGTGTTGTTTTCCTATTTATTTTGGAAGTTTTCAAAGCTCTCACCATATGATTTAGCCTAAGCAGATTACCACTAATTGTTTTGATTCATTGTTTGAATTTGCTAGTGGTTTTGTTCTAGAATTATTCTTATCATAAGTTGTGCAAAATTCATATGAGTTAAAGTGCATTTCATTTACGTAGTCCTGCATCACTACCTCTACTTTTTTAATATAAGCCGAATTTAATACATGTACTCTCCTAATAGGGTTATCGAAAAGTCAATGTTTTATGTGACCATACCATTTAATACGACTCTCTCTAATGTTATCTATCATTGGAGCTACTCCAACCGTTTCACGTATATACTCGTTTTGCATTCTATCTCTAAGTGTGAAGCCACTCATCCGCCTGAGTGTCCTCATCTCTGCAACACTTAACTTAATTTTGTTTTTTTTTTTATTTTTTTTATTTTTTTTTTTATTTTTTTTACACTTAACTTAATTTTGTGCTTCTCTTTTAACGGTCAATATATTGCGCAATAAAGCGTTGCAGGTCTCACCACTATATTATAAAATTTTCGCTTAAGTTTGAGGGGTAGTTTTCTATCACACAAGCTCGATGCATTGCTCCACTTCAACCATCCAACTTGAATTCTACTTGTAATATTTCCATCTATTTCACTATCGTTTTGGACAATAAGCCTGAGATATTTAAAACGTGCACTCTTTTTAATGACTTGATCACTCAATGTTACAATCCCTCCATTAGATCTATTACTACTAATACAATCCATATATTTGATTGTAGATCTACTGAAACAAAAATTTTTAGACTCTAAAGTTGACCTCAATGATTCGAGTTTTTCATCAACTCCCTCTCTAGTCTTATCAACAAGAAGAATATCATTAGCAAAAAGCATACACCAAGCTATATTCTAATTCAAATGTTTGGAAGAATATGAATGACTAAAGCAAAAATATATGGGCTTAAAGATCCAACTGAAATAGAACAATGCTTGGTCAAACCACCTTGTGTTTGAAAACAAATACAGGTCATGCATTATATCCTTAATGACTTAAATATAAGTATTATTAACTACTACTTTTCTAGAACTCTCGAGCACTTCTTTTGAAACTTTATTATATGCTTTGTCGAGCGGCTCGTCGATCTCAATCGAGCTCAAAAAGAGTATACTCAGTATCAGTCGTCGTGTCCACTATCGAGCCGAGCTGTTGAGTTTCATCGTTTTGTTCGCGGTCGTCCCAGTCGAGCTGCTCATCAAGCCGATGAGCCAAGTCCGACGCCTGTTCGAGCTCGAGCTCGATAAGCTCGACTCGTCGAGCCTGTTATCGAGTCGAGTTTGAGCCAGCTCACGAGCCGGCTTGACTCGGTTGCACCCCTAGTTATAGATGACAACAAAGAGTATTTCCTACAAGTAATGAAGCGTGTGCTATTAAATGTGCATAGTTACGATGAGAGTTCTAATTTGAATGCACTAAAAATACCTTTAAAAGCTGGATTATGAGAATCATTGCTTTCAGATCATAATAAGATAGATAGCAATTTATAAGTTGTACTCTAAACCATGTTGGTGTTCTTTTTTGATTAGCCCAACAAGAAGAAGAAGAAGCAACCTTTAGCCCACTACGTGGGATGGGCTACTTTAATATTTTTTCTCCAATGTGTCATATTAAGAATTGAATTCTCATTTAAATCTAATAAACAATGCAATTTTTAATACTTTCTCACAAGGTCTACCTCTACTTTTTTTAACATAGGCCAAATTTAATACATGTACTCTCCTAACAGGGTCATCAAAAAGTCGATGTTTTATGTGACCATACCATTTAAGGCGACTCTCTCTAATGTTATCTATCATTGGAGCTACTCCAACCTTTTCACGTATATACTCGTTTTGCATTTTGTCTATAAGTGTGAAGCCACTCATCCACCTGAGCCTCATCTCTGCAACACTTAACTTAATTTTGTGCTTCTCTTTTAATGGTCAATATATTGCGCAATAAAGCGTTGCAAGTTTCACCACTATATTATAAAAATTTCCCTTAAGTTTGAGGGGTACTTTTCTATCACACAAGCTCGATGCATTGCTCCACATCAACCATCCAACTTGAATTCTACTTAAAATATTTCCATCTATTTCACTATCGTTTTGGACAATAAACCTGAGATATCTAAAACGTGCACTATTTTTAATGACTTGATCACCCAATGTCACAATCGCTCCATTAGATCTATTACTACTAATACAGTCCATATATTTGATTGTAGATCTACTTAAACGAAAACTTTTAGACTATAAAATTGACCTCAATGATTCGAGTTTTTCATCAACTCCCTCTCTAGTCTTATCAACAAGAAGAATATCATTAGCAAAAATCATACACCAAGCTATATTCTAATTCAAATGTTTGGAAGAATATCAATGACTAAAGCAAAAATATATGGGCTTAAAGATCCAACTGAAATAGAAAAATACTTGGTCAAACCACCTTGTGTTTGAACACAAATAACAGCTCATGCATGTATATCCTTAATGACTTAAATATAAGCATTATAAACTACTTTTCTGGAACTCTCGAGCACTTCTTTTGAAACTTTATTATATGCGTTCTCTAAATTAATAAATATCATATGTGGATCCTCTTTACTCTCCACATACTTCTCCATCAAACCTCTCAACATATATATAGCTTTCATAGTATACCCATTCGGTATGAATCCAAAATAATTTTGATAAACATTAGTTTT